TCTCTTTCTTACCTAATTGCATTGGCTTAGACTTACAGTACTATGTTAAATAAAAGTGGTGAGGTTGGATATTTTTCTCTTGCTTCTGACACTAGAGAAAACGTTCCAAAAGGCTTATTGTATGTAACCTTTGTTATGTTGAGATAAGTACAGGGAGTCATTGTGAGCCCAATTAGGAAGGAGACAATTAAGGATAGTCAAATTTGAAAGTAGGAGCCTGATTGTATCTGGTGCGGGTAAAGTCATCTTGCATTAAAAAAATAATAATAAAGACTACATCCCCATACTGTTAGAACTTTTAAAACATTAGTAAACTTAAACAGAATACAAAATCGAACAAAAACTAGTAGTATTCCTGTACACTGACAGTGAACTGAAAGATAAAAGTCACAGTTCTATTTAGAAAAACTTAAAAAAAGAAAGTCCATTTTGAGTTCTTGTTAGTGGATAGTGAAAGGTAAGCTCTAACTTCAATTTGTCTAGTTTGTATTTCCAGTATTCCCAACCTTATGTCATGAAGAGACTATTCTTTCCTTAGTAGATGTTGTGAAACTTTTGGAGCGCAAGTTGACTGTATACATGAGGATTTATTTCTGGACTTTCCACCTTGTTTCATCATCTCTTTATGCAAGAAATAACACACTATTTTGAATACAAAATATGTAATATGTGTTTGTAATATGTGTTGAAGTGAGAAAGTATGATAGCTGTTAAGTTTTTCTATTTCAGAATTTTTTGTTTTTTGTTATGTTTTTGATTCTTTGAGTTTTCATATACATTTTAGATGATTCTAACACTTGTGCAAAAGTTTTCTTTGGTATTTTGGTAACATATCAAATCTGTAGATCACTTTTGGTAGAATTGACATATGAACAATATCAAAACTTTTGAAGAAGAGTGTTTTTAATACTTTCTGTTTAATTTCCATAGAGTTGTGTCATATCACTTCACTTTTGGTTTTTACATCTGGTTTTATTCTATTGTCAGCAGAAAAAATTCTTTGTGTAATTTTTATGTGCTGAAATTTGTTGAGGCTTGGTGACTTAAGAATTCTGTCTAGCATAATGTGCTATTTGTGCTTAAGAATTTTGTGTATTTTCTTGTTGAGTGGAGAGTTCAGTATGAGACTTTCAGGTGTAAATTGATCTATAGCATTGTTCAAGTCTTCTGTTTCCTTTTTTGTTTGTTTCTCTGTATATATTTTTCATTATTGAAAGTATGTTATCAGGTACCCTGCTATTATTGTGCTGCTGTCTTATTCTTGCTTCAGTTCTGTAAAAGTTGCTTTTTCTACATTTAGGAGCTGTGATGATAGGTGAATATTGGTTAAATCTTCTGATAGCTTCCTGATCAGTGAACGCTTTTATCATTATATAATGCCCTTTTTTGTTCTTTATGATTGTTTTGTTTGAGACAGAGTCTCATTCTGTTGCCCAGGCTGAAGTGCCATGGCATCAACCTGGCAGCTCTTAGTAACCTCACAGTCCTGGGTTTAAGTCAGCAGTTCTCAACCTGTGGGTCATAACCCACAGGAGCTGTATTAAAGGTCTGCAGCATTAGGGAGGTTGAGAACGACTGGTTTAAGTGATCCTCCTACCTCAGCCTGATGAGTAGCTGGTACTATTTATGATCTCAACAGAATGCAATCAGGGATGTACCCACCATAATGCCTGGTTAATTTTTCTATTTTTAGTTTATATAGAGTCTCATTCTTGGCTCAGGCTGGTTTTCTTTCTTTCTCTCTTCTTTTTTTTTTTTTTTATTAAATGGTAAACACATAGATCATGCATACATTAATGCATTTATGGGGTACATTATGCTGATTTCATATAGAATTAGGAACGCTTACATCATACTGGTTAAAATATACCTCATGTCATTTACTTAATTATTTTGTTAAGACATTTATACTCTATACTAATAGATCCAACCTGTACCCTTGCACTATGCACCATAGGTGTGATTTTTTTTTTTTGAGACAGCATCACAGCTCACAGCAACCTCCAACTCCTGGGCTTTGGCAATTCTCTTGCCTCAGCCTCCCGAGTAGCTGGGACAAACAGGTACTTACAGGTGCCTGACACAATGCCCGGCTATTTGTTGTTGTTGTTACAGTTTGGCTGGGCCGGGTTCAAACCTGCCACCCTCAGTGTATGGGGCTGGTGCCCTACCCACTTAGCCATAGGCAACTTGACATAAAGTTATCCTTCTGTGTCAGCCTTCCAGTGTTAAGATCACAATGTGAGCCTCTGTGACTGGTCTTCTTGTGACACTTTTAGATGCATCATAATCTTATGTCAGTGTGAGTGTATTTGACACTGCGTTCAGTAACATTTTTGAATTGTTTTACTTTTAAGCCCTGTGTATGTCCTTACATCTAAGTAAATCTTCTAGCTCGGTGCCTGTGGCTCAAGCGGCTAAGGCGTCAGCCACATACACCTGAGCTGGTGGGTTCGAATACAGCCCGGGGCCCGCCAAACAACAATGACGGCTGCAATGAAAAAATAGCCAGGCATCGTAGCAGGCACCTGTTGTCCCAGCTACTTGGAAGGTGGAGGCAGGAGAATCGCTTGAGCCCAGGAGTTGAAGGTTGCTGTGAGCTGTGATGCCATGGCACTCTACCCAGGGCAACATAGTGAGACCCTGTCTCAAAAAAATAAAATAAAATAAAAATAAACTCTAGGAGCATTGCTATATGTATTTACTGTGGATCTTTTCTTTGTAGTTACCATAGATATTATGTAAAACATGTGAAAACTATAATAAACTAAGCTGAAAACTTTAATTGCATACAAATCCCTGCCTTTTTACACCCTTAATTACATTCTGTTGAGATCACAAATTGCACCTTTTTGAATTGGGTGTCTTTAGCATAAAGGTATGGCTATTTTAAATGTTTGTCTTTTAAAATTTACAGCAGAATTAAAATTATTTTATTCAAGGTTCTTATGATAACACAGAATACTGTATATATGCGTATTATTCCATTTAGCGTAGAACTTTATATATTCACATAACTGTGTGGCTAATTTTTTAATGTGCAAAACTCTCTTTAGCAATTTGTGTAGGGTATGTCTCATGAGCCAAAATTTTTTAGATGTTTTTGATCTTTGCAATATTTTTGTTTTAAACTAATTTTTAAAGGACAATTTTGCCCAGAAATAGTGTCCTTGATTTTTATTTGTCAATTTTTTTTAGCACTTTTAATATATCATCTTATACCTTTCTGGCCTTCAAGGTTTTTTGGTAAAAGCATGTGTTGATCATCCGATAGGAGTGCACTTATATATGCCAAGTCACATTTTTCTTGTTGATTTCAGGATACTCTTTATTTGTAACTTTAAAATTTTTGATTGCAGTGTGTCTTCTTTTGGATCTCTTTATGCTGTTCCTAGCTTAGATTGAGCTTTAAGTTTTTTTCTTTTTTTGAAACAGAGTCTCACTATGTTACCCTTGGTAGAGTGCCACAGCATCACAGCTCACAGCAACCTCAAACTCTTGGGCTTCAGCAATTCTCTTGCCTCCGCCTCCCAAATAGCTGGGACTACAGGCACCTGCCAAAACACTTGGCTATTTTTTTGTTGCAGTTGTCATTGTTGTTTGGCGGGCCCAGGATGGGTTCAAACCTGCTAGCTCCGGTGTATGTGACTGGTGGCGTAGAGCTGAGCTTTAAGTTTTATGTTACTTTCTTCTGCAATGTCAGAAAGTTCTTTTTTTTTTTTTTTGAGGCAAAGCCTCAAGCTATCCCCCTGGGTAGAGTGCCGTGGCTTCACAGCTCACAGCAACCTCCAACTCCTGGGCTCAAGTGAGTCTCCAGCCTCAGCCTCCCAAATAGCTGGGACCACAAGTACCCACCACAACGCCCAGCTATTTTTTGGTTGCAGCCGTCATTGTTGTTTGGCAGGTCCAGGCTGGATTCGAACCCACCGCCTTAGGTGTATGTGGCTGGCGCCTTAGCCACTTGAGCCACAGGTGCCGAGCCAGAAGGTTCTTTCAGACATTTCTTTCTTTCTTTTCTTTTTTTTATAACTCACAGCAACCTCAAACTCTTGGGCTAAAGCGATTCCCTTGCCTCAGCCTCCCAAGTAGCTGGGACTATGGGTATGCACCACATTGCCTGGCTATTTTTCTCAGGCTGGTCTTGAACTTGCAAGCTCAGGGAATCCACCTGCCTGGGTGCTGAGCCACCAAACTCAGCATTCTCAGACATTGCTTCATGTATGCTCCCTGCTTATTTTTGTTTTTTTTTCTTTATAAAACACTTACTGTGAATATTTTGGCATGCTTAAATGGCAACAAGGTCCTTAGTCTTTCTTCCCTTTTCTTTCTTTTCCTTTCATAATTATAATTTCAAATGGCTTATTATCAAGCTGTCTCATTTTTTTCTGCTGTAACAAATCTGCCGTTGACTTTATCTAGTTTATCTTTAAGTTTAGTTAATTTGTTTCTGAGATCTCTGGGGATTTTTTTATTTTTTTCTTTCTTTTTAGTTTTAACCTTTTTGTAACTAATCTCATTTTTTATGCCTGGTTTTCCTCCTTTTATTTAGTGGTCTGTGCTGTCATTGACCTGATAGAGCTACATTAAGACTAGTATTTTAAAGACTTATAAAATTACTTCATAAATTTGCACTTTTTTGTGCTCACCGGATTTTTTTTTTTTTGCCTTTTTATTAGAGTGTAATTTTTAGTTTATATTTGATATCTCAATTTTTACTAAAATTTTGCTTATTTACAAAACAGCTACCTATTGCATCCTTGCTTTATTCAGGGGATATTTTGGCACTGACCAGCCACATATTGGATATTTGGGACACTTTTTCAAACTGTTGACAGGACATGTATTCTCTGAAGTACTTTGTGTATTTTCCCACTAAAATGGTTTGCCTATTTCTTGTAAATACCCCTTAACGTTTATCTTCTATAATGAATTCCATAAGTTTGCAGCCTCTCTCACTGGACTCAGCATGTCATTTAAATTATATTTCCATTTCTTTTCAGCACTGCATAGTAAAGGAAGCAATAACCAGTCTTTTGAAAGCCCCAAAGAAACCCAAGACTTTGGATATGAGATTGGATTACGTGTTCAGTCAAATATTTCTGAAGACCAGAGACTTAAAAGCGAAGAGGATATTTCTAAATGTGATCAATTTGATGAGTCCTTCATTAAAACTTTATTATCCTTCCATCAACAAATATTATCATCAGATGCCAAAATGTACAAATGTGATCAGTATGGCAAGGTGTTTACCCAATTACCACTGCTTAATCAACATCAAGAAATAAATAATTGGAAGAAACATTACATATTTAATAAAACCTTGATGTTTTTTATCCAGAGCTTTACCCTAAATAATTACCAAGATACTGCTATTGATATGAGAAATTATCAACCTAAAAAATTTGTAAACCCCATCTCTTGCTCTAGAAAATATTGGAAAGCTCAATATCCAGAAATCCAGTACAAATGTGAAAAATGTGAGAAAGTCTTTCACCAGTGTTTAAAGCTTATTAGCTATGAGGATATCCATGCTCAAGAATTTTCCTATAAATGTAATAAACAGGTTGAAGCTTTTTCCCAGTCAGGTAATCATTGTCAAAATGATGGGATTCATACAGGAGAAAAATCATACAGACATAATAAATGTGAGAAGGTCTTTAGTCGGTCATCCAATCTAAGAATACGCAATATAAAGCGTGCTAAAAAAAGGCTCTACAAATGTAAAGAATGTGGCAAAATCTTTAACCTTAATTCACTCCTTACTCAACATTTGAGAATTCACACTGGAGAGAAACCCTACAAATGTAAAGAATGTGGTAAAGCCTTTAGTCAGATTGCACATCTTAGACAACATGAGGTTCTTCATAGTGGAGAGAAACCCTATAAATGTAAAGAATGTGGTAAGGCCTTTAGTCAGATTGCACATCTTAGACAACATGAGAGAATTCATACTGGGGAGAAACCCTATAAATGTGAAGAATGTGGCAAATTCTTTACTCAGTCTTCAAGTCTTAGACAACATGAGATACTTCATACTGGAGTGATACCCTACAAATGTGAAGAATGTGGCAAAGCCTTTAAGTATCATTCAAGGTTTATTCAGCATCAAAGAATTCATACAGGAGAGAAACCCTACAAGTGTAAAGAATGTGGTAAAGCCTTTACTCAGATTGCACATCTTAGAACACATGAGAAAATTCATACTACCGAAAATGCATACAAATGTGAAGAATGTGGCAAAGGCTTTAACTATCATTCAAGGTTTATTCAGCATCAACGAATTCATACAGGAGAGAAACCCTACAAATGTAAAGAATGTGGTAAAGCCTTTACACGGATTGCACATCTTAGAACACATCAGTTAATACATACTGGAGAGAAGCCCTACAAATGTAAGGAATGTGACATATCTTTTACTCAGTCTTCACATCTTAGACAACATGAAATACTTCATACTGGAGAGATACCCTACAAATGTGAAGAATGTGGCAAAGCCTTTAAGTATCATTCAATGTTTATTCAACATCAAAGAATTCATACAGGAGAGAAACCCTATAAATGTAAAGAATGTGGTAAAGCGTTTACTCAAATTGGACATCTTCGATCACATGAGTCAATTCATACTGGAGAGAAACCCTACAAATGTGAACAATGTGGCAAAGCCTTTATCTATCGTTCAAAGTTTATTCAACATCAAAGAGTTCATACAGGTGAGAAACCGTACAAATGTAAAGAATGTGGTAAAGCTTTCACTCGTGTTGCAAATCTTAGAACGCATAGGTTAATTCATACTGGAGAAAAACCCTACAAATGTAAAGAATGTGGTAAAGCCTTTACTCAGCTTCCCCATTTTAGAACACATAAGACAATTCATAATAGAGAGAACCCGTACAATTGTGAAGAGTGTGGCAAAGCCTTTAACTATCGTTCACACTTTATTCAACATCAAAGAATTCATACTGGAGAGAAACCCTACAAATGTAAAAAGTGTGGTAAAGCCTTTACTCAGCTTGCACATCTTAGAACACATGAGACTATTCATACTAGAGGGAAACCATACAAATGTAAAGAATGTGGCATATTCTTTCCCAAATCTTCAAAGCTTAGACAACATCAGAAAATGCATAATAAAAAGAAGCCCTACAAATATAAATAATGTGGCCAATTTTTTACCTGCACAGCAAGCTTTAGAAAACATCAGTTAGTTCATACTGTATAGAAACACATACAAATGTAAAGAATGTGGTAAAGCCTTTATTTACTTTTCTAGATCTTAGACAACATGGGAGAATTTTTACTGGAGAGAAATTACACAAATATTAAGAAGGTGGCATATCCTTTACCTAGTCTTCAAGACTTAGACAACCTCAGAAAATTCATAAATTTTCTGGAGAGAAACCCTACAAATATGAGGAATGGGACTAAATATTTAGCTATAGTTAATGCCTTACTTAGTATCAAACAATTTATACTACAGAAACCCTATAGATGTAATATATGTGAAAAGGGTTTTATCCCAAATACACAACTTAGAAATCACCAGAGTTTATAGAGAATGAAAATTAACAGGTGAAATAAATATGCAGAATTATTTAATCAAAACTTAAGTCTCAGTGCGTCAGGGAATTCACACAATTAAAAACTCCAGTACACTTTCAGATTTTACAGTAACCCAGAGTATTTCTTGTGGAAGTGTAGAGAACAATGTGAGGCAGAGCAGATAGATAATTTATCTGATGGTATTTTACAAAATATGAAGAACATTGATTATAATTCTGCCATATGGGTACTTTATATTGATTATATTTGAAATTCTTTAAAAGCAAATATTGGTGCAATTTAAATTTCAAATATGTTGATGCTATACCTTCAGCCTTAATGTTTATGTGATATGTGATCTATTGTTTCTGCATCAATTCTGTGAGCGGCCATTCAATGTTATGTGACTGTGATTTTCCATTTCTCCCTGAAAGCTTAATGGAGAATGTAAAATACTTTATAAAACTCTAAAGAAAGATGATTTTTGTGTTTGAATTATAAAACAATGATGTATGTAAGCATATAGTATATTACCAGGGCATTTTTCATCAGTATTAACATTCTAAGAAATTTTCAAAATAAATAATTTTACCATTTTTTAAGCCTTAAAAACTGGTCAGTTAAAATAATAAAGTAGAATAAAATAGAAATATTGGATATTTTTTGATGTGATTCTGGACATGAAAATCTTGAATTTTATTTGAAGTAATGGGGAAAAAAGTGTCTTAACAGATATGAAAGTGAAAACAAATCCTATATGGAAGGTTATATGTATATTCAAATTAGTGTACACCCAATAGTTATCAGTCTTTAAAAGTAAATAAAGCATAAGTCCAAGATCACTATGTTAGACTCAAAATAATGCTTTTTGGGTACTTGTGACTGAGGAGCACACAAATTTTAACTGCTTAATTAGTCTATGGGTAATTTTGATTAGTAAAGCTAAGTGTTTTTTAATGTTTTCACACTAACATGCAATAAATGAAATGTTATCTGGTCACCAATGTTAAACTATCTCATCTTGTCCAAGATTGCAGTTAACAGATTAAAATAACATGTGGATAACACAGTGGAATAACTCTTTTAGTAGTCTTTTTCCTGAGGAACTAAACTTTCAATAATTTGGAGAATACTTGCTATTTTGTGTCCTTTTCTCTATTTTGTAACTACGGAGATGTTAATATGGCCAGGGATGCCTGGTGACCTCTGTGGCCTCAGCCTCAGCCATCTCCTCCTCCTCCTCCTTCTAAATTCCCTTTTTCATCCTGGCGTTTAGCCTCATCTGTTTTCTACTGCCAGTTTCCAATATGGAGTCTTCTCAGTCATGGATTCCCTTTCTTCACCTTTAGACTTCTCTTAATTCACCTCGAGCCCCTATACTTTATCTTGACCTTAAATCTAAATGCTTCATCTTTTTCTGTAATACCACTTGGCCTATGTACAAACTAGACAGTGGCTAACAGTGGCTTGAAAATGGCACCTTTGACCTTTCAATCCTCAGTGATCTCGACAAATTCTGTCAGAGATTGGGCAAACAATCAGAAGTCCCTTACATTCATGCCTCCTTCCTCCGAATCATTCCTTCTTTGTATTCGTCTTGTGAACCCTCTCAAATTTTTCTTTCATGGGCCTAACCAGTCAGCCCCTCCCTGAGCCCCCTGAAACCGTCAGCTCTCTTCTATCTTCCTTTGACTCAGCAGACAACACTCCCCCTCAGTCCTCCCACAACCCCCCCCCCCCCAGCCTCCTCTCTACCCACAGAATTCCACCCCATCCCCCTTCTCTCCTCTGCTGCCCACCCATGGGCGGGAAAGTAAAGATGACAGACCCAACTTCCCCCCCTCTTACTAGGTCTGGCCATGCCTTTGGACCTTCTGCTTCTGGACCACCACAACCTGTGTACCCCTCTGAAAAGTTGTAGGAATGGAAGTTATCATCAGGGTTCATGTCTCCCTTTCTCTCTCAGATCTGCCTCACATAAGTCAGAAACTAGATTTATTCTACACAGCTTCCACAAAATACACTCAAGAATTCAGATATCTAACCCAATCACATGATCTGACCTGGCATGATTTCATATGTCGTCTCACCTCCACCCTAACTTTGGAGGAGAGGGAACAGGTCTGGACCTAGGCTGAGGTACGCACTGAAGATCTACAGAGGACAGACCAAACCCTGCTGGAAGGTGTTAGGGCCAAACCTTGGGGAGACTAATAGGGATTACCAAAATGATACTCATGGAGTGCACCTCCATAACCACATGGTCCCACGTCTCTTAGAGGGACTTAAAAAAGCATCCCACAGCACCATCAATTTTAACCAACTAACAGAACCCAAAAACGGGAGGAAAATCCTGCTCAGTTTTTAGCCTGTCTTAATGATGCCCTCCACCACTATACTGCCCTATTGCCAGAAGGCAACGAGGGCAAGCTCATTATAAACATGCATTTTATCTCCCAGTCTGCACCCAACATCCGAAAAAAACTCCAGAAATCCCTCCAGGGTCCTCAGATCCACCCCCCACACACACACAAGATTTTGTCAACCTGGACTTCAGGGTCTTCAATAACTTAGAAGAGGCCTCTAAATGAGAGTGCCTCTCAGAGCTCCAGCTATTGCTCTCTGCCATTAGACAAGCTCCAGCTAGTTCTTGAAACTCCTCCAGACAGTCCAGAAAAGGAAAAGCTCCCTCCGGACCATGCTTTAAATGCAGAAAAACTGGCCATTGAGTCAGAGAATGCCAAAATCCAAATCCCATCCCCCAAGTCATGTTCGGCCTGTTAGGTCCTCACTGGAAGTGTGACTGCCCAGGTCCTTCTGAGGATCCAGCTTGTAGTCACAACCAGGACCTAGCTGAATTCCCTGACCTCTTGGGCTTGGCCACTGAAGATTGATGGGTCCCAGAAGTGCAGGAGGCCCCTTTGATGATCACTAAAACTGAACTCTGTATAACTTCTGGTGGAAAGTAAGCCAATCTCTTTTCTCATTGATACTGGGGCCACTTACTCTACCCTACCCTCCTTCAGAGGTCCCTTACAACAGAGATCTCCGTGGTAGATATTGATGGCAATTTGCTACACCCTACACTACCCCACCCTTGTAGTACTCCCTTTCCAGACACTTTTTCACACTCATTCCTTCATGCAGCATCTCCCTACTAGATAGAGATGTCCTCTCAAAATTACAAGCAACCCTGACAATTTGCACCGGCTCCCACCTCTCACTACCCATCTTACTCCTCTTTAATCCCTCCCCTACAATTCTTCCTGTCTCTCAATCCAGCCTCCCCATAGACCCCATCATGTGGGATACCTCTCTTCCTTCTTTAGCCTCCCATCATTCACCCCTTCTCATTGCCCTCCAACCCTAACATTCATATCTTTCCCTTAAATACCCAATCCCCACCACTGCCCTCAGAGGTGTTAAGCTCCTTCTCAAATGCCTGTTGGCCAGTATTCTCAAACCTACTAACTTCCCCTACAACATTCCCATCCTTCCTGTAAAAGAACCTAATGGTTCATAATGGTTAGTGCAGGACTTAACGGCTGTCAGTGAAATTGTTCAGCTTATTCACCTAATAGTCCCTAATCCCTATACCCTCCTATGTACCATTCCTTCCAATACTTACCATCCCCATCCATGAGTTCTCCACATCTGTCTTTGCCTTCACTTGGGTTTGCCCTGATTCCTCCACCAGCCAACAACTCAACTGGACAGTTCTCCCTCAAAGATTGAGAGATAGTCCTCATTACTTTGGTCAGGCACTTCAGCCTGACCTCCAGCAGGCTGAAGGTCTAACATTACCAGAAAAATCCAGGTTTTCCAGTATGTAGATGACCTTTTATGCAGCCTCTACCCCACTGCCTCCTGGCAAGACACCATTAACCTACTCTTCTTTCCTTGTCACCAAGAGGTATAGAGTGTCCCTTCCCAAAGCCCAGTTAACCTCTCCCTGTCTGATACCTCCACATCTTCTTTCAGGAATGAGAAAAACTCATTCCCCCTAACAGCATTCAGGCCATCTCTTTACCCCTTCCTTGAACAAAAAATGACCTCCTCTCCTTCCTGGGGGTTGTAGGATAATTTAGAACCTGGATTCCCAATTTCACGGCCTCAGCTAAACCTCTGTACACCATCGCTAAAGGCCCCTCAACTGACCTCATAGACCCCACCAGCTTTAGTCAAGTTCTTTCCTCTCCCTATAATCTCCTGTCCCGAACACTCTCCCTCTCTCTCCCTGATCTCTGCTACCCATTTTACCTCTCTGTCAAAACACCAAAGATGTGCAGTAGGAGTCCTAACACAGAAATCTCACAATGATCACCTCCCAATAGCATTCCTTTCAAAGCAGATAAAATTTACAACAGTGGTAGCCACATTCCTCCTTTTCCTGAAGGCCCAGAAACTTACTTACCACACCCCCACTTATCTATTAACTTCTCACAACAGTCTATTCCTTTTAAAGCACCAACACTTGTCTTTACTTTCTGTACCTCATTTACTCCAGCTCCTAATCCTTTTTATAGAAAACCCTAATCTCAACTTTCTCCCTGGCCTCGCATATGACCCTTCATCTCCATTAGCTCCCCTCCACCTCCATGACCCTCACGCTTTTCAGAATTCATTCTATGATTGCTGGTCTTTAGTCATGATAACATTACACCCTTTTCCTAGCATTTCTCTCTTTCCCTTACCTAGCCCTGAAGACACCTGGCTTATCAATGACTTCTTCTAAGCCCACTGCTTAATCCATTGCCAAGGCAGGCTTTGCCATTGTATTCTTTCCCTGCATTATCGCCTCAACTACTGTGGTCCCCAGCACCTCCTCACAACCACCCTCACTAAAGCCTTACAACTCACGCAAGGCCGCTCCATTAACATATACACAGATTTTAAGTATACTTTCCACATACTCCATCACCATGCCACCACTTGGCAAAAAAGACGATTCATTACCAACCAAGACTCCTCTATTGTCAACATCACACTCATTAAAAACCTCCTGAATGCAGCCACTCTCCCAAAGGAAGTGGCCATCATCTTTTGTAAAGGCCACCAGAATGAAAGATGCAATTTCCAAAGGCAACCAGAAAGTTGATATAGAAGCCAAATGGCCAACTCAATGCCCCTATACCCCCACCCCCAGAAGGCCAGTACTTGTCCTTCAATAAATTCTCTCCAGTATATACATACGAAGAATGTATATAGAAGAAGACAATTACTGGTACCTTCCCACATGGGGAGGTTGGTTCCTTCAGTGAGGAAAATTCATTCTTCCTTCCTCCCAAGCACAGAATATCCTCTCTTCCCTCCATAATAGCCTTCACATTGGCTTCAAGCCTCTTAACACCCTTCTTTCTCTGCTCCTTTTCCACCCACAACTATCTTCCCTTTTAAAACAGATAACCCAGTCTTACAGAATCTGTACCCAGATCTCACCCCAGGGGCTATAACCCCCACCCCTTTTCCCA